TCAAAAGACTTTCTGCTTTACAAGCAAGTGATATTTGAGAATCTGTTATCCAATTCGCTCTTTCTCCCACAGACGTGGTGCTATGCTATCTCTTAGTTCTCACAGCGTGCTGGGGAGCGATATGGAGGAAATGGCATCTGCACCAGTGGAGGCTTACAAAGTGTCTCTCTGTTGTCAAATGTCTCCGCTTGGAAAGACAGCTCTGCGAAAGTTAAGGGAGAGAAGGGAATTTAAATAAGAGATGGGGGACTAAAGTCCTGTTGTCTGTGAAATAACGGTTTATTTCCTGTTCCTCCACACTGACGAGGTTGGCATCAGGTGCCTCATTTGAAGTTGACAGCACAGTGAAGGGTTAGCACACTCACTAGTGGAGTCATGACGCAGATTCCAGCTGATGATCCTGTCATGTTCACTTGTTTCAGCTCGCCTCTCTCAGTGCATTGACAGACATGACTAAGAAAGATTTTTCATTAACTGAAAAAGGAAGACTATCTTTCCCTAAATAAAACGAGTGATGAAATCATCATTGCAACCCTAAAAGGACGAATAAACTCCACAAAACCGTTTAAAGCTGTTTGGACTAAATATGGAGAACAAGAGTTTAATTACTAGCTCTAATCTTCTTGGCTTGTAAGCAATTCAGCAATTTGAATTAGCTTTTTCTCATTAACATCCTTGAACAATAGCAGCACTCTGAGCTTGTATTCACCTAGCATCAGTAATTAAGAGTGATTCATTTTAATTGGTAAATTAATCAATTTTTTAATCAAACTGATGGAATCTCAGCTTTTTGAGACCATTTCCAATGGGTTAATTTGTTGCACATGCTAAAGTAGTTATCAGATTAAAAACAGAACACCACCATGTTTTTTCTAAAAATAACCAACAAGGTTGCTCACACAGATTGAGTAATTTTTAGGTTAGAATTGGGGTTTAATTAATGTGAGAGCAAATTTGACTAATTTTAGGAAGCTACCTTAAAACTGTTCAGCTACAAGTTGCAAAAAAGTAGTTACTTTTTGTTTACACAAGTACAGTAGTTACTTTTTGTTTGCAGGCAATGTACATCATTTTTTAATATATTTATATATATATATATAGTATATATATATATACTCTGTATATAGCAGGACATTTTTTAATATAACTCCGATTGTATTCGTCTGAAAGAAGAATGTCATATACACCTAGAATGGCATAGGGTGATTAAATCATGGGCTACTTTTCATTTTTGGGTGAACTATCCCTTTAAGCAGCGTTGCTATTCAGTTACTGTTAACACTGAATCAGTCAATTCAGTAAGTATCAGTATCAGTAATCAGTAAGTAAATAATTGTGGCAAGGTCATTTACTGGGTTGTAAAAATTGGACATCTCTTGTCGTCTTATTTGACGATTTAATTGAAGTTAATAATTGTTGACTCTTAGGTTGCACTCTAAGATTTCTTTTCATGTCTCTTTAAATGCACCACAGTCCACTGGCTCTTAAACACAGATGGCTTTAATATATTCATGGCCCTGATGTGTAACCTTTACTATGTAAACACTCTTACACCTACTTGAAATGATCCTGTGAATGAGTCAAGGGTGTAAGTGAGCCTGCTGCCTTCAGTACAACATCTGGATTTCACCATAGGTTGAAATGACACCAGCTAATATAAGAACTGTCACGAAAAGGACAAAGGGTGACATTTAAAAACTTTCCGTGGGTGGAAAATTTGCATGCATCTTAAAAGGCATAACATTTTTTTAAGGTTTAATTTGTCATTTTCACAGTTTGCTCTGGTACCAGGGGGTCTTTGCTTAACTCATTTCCTTGAAGAGAATGATAAAAAATAATTTCTTAACCATGGAAGAAAAATACTAGAAAATTCATTCAAGCATTCAGAGTTTCTGCAAGTACGACCACTAAAGCTATTTTGCAGGCACATATTAAGTAATGCCACATTACGACAGCCCAATCAGAATAAATTTGGAATCTAAAGGATTGTTGCAACCTTCAGGTGCAAATTAACCCATAAAAAAAAAAAAAAAACACATTGAAGAAGTGGTTTATCCCTGATTCAGAACATATTGTACTTTTAGTGTTATGGCTCGTATGGTTAGAAGCTTAAATTACCATTAACTTTCTTAGCTGCACTCAAATACCCTTTTGCTAGACATTTTAGTGGGTAGCCTTTGTATGACATCAGACCGAAAGTAACTGTACAACTTTCTGCAAAACAAAACAAAACACTGATACTTTTTTCAAAAAGTCATACGGAAAGACATGATGTTGAGTAAATGATGACAGAATTTCTTCTACAATGTGTTAGTTTGTAATATGTCTCCTCTCTAGGAATTGTACTAGTCATGAATGATACCTCAAAAAGTGCAGCTGCCGAGGAGAGGTGTGTTATATGACTTTTCAGACTTGCATTGTAGGTTACAGTTGAATTCTTGAGACAAGAATATCAGACACCTGGTGTGGGACTTGCAGCAAAAAGGACCCACCTAGCAACTATCACTATCTATAACTATCACTCAGAATACCACAGCAACCACATAGCAACACCCTAGCAACCACCCAGAACACCTCAGCAATACGGCAGTATTTTAAGCACTACTCAGTTTTTACAGAAAAGCTATGTAAAAATCTAGTGTCAGTATTTATCACATCTGTAGAAGCAGTATTCCACTGAAAATCTCTTTTTTTTAATTGTATTAAATATATACTGTACGCAGCACGACCAGATAATACATGGAGAAAAGCAGAGCTACACAGGGAAAGTACTACATGCTGCAAGTACCTCCACTGCCTGCTGACAATCTATAATAGGTGTCAATGTGGCAAAGTGTGCTCTAGACACTCGGTGGGGAAAACTTGTTAATCTCCATATGGATATTACCATACTGTTCTCGGTGCATGTACACTTTTGAGCCGTCATACTTGAGGTCTCCAGATGTCAATATTGGATTTCGCTTTTACAGAAGCACTCAGATTCCTCGACAAGTTTGAGATGTGGATAATTGGAGGTCGTTAAAGGGGCCGGGAAGAAGTAAGGATGTTATTTTAGTCTTTGCCTGCTTCAGATTATGACTTGCTACATTAACCATAAGTGCAGGTAGAACTGAGGACACACTACATTAGGTAGCAAAAAAAAGTTAAAACCTCGTCTCTTCTCCTTCAGTGACACAGAAAGACTCTGTCAGCATCTGACACACATGGGTGGAGGAGACAGCGAGATACCAGAGATGAGCTTAAGTGAAGATTTTAGAAAGTTTAACACGGTAAGAAACATGGCCAAAATAGGGGATAATAAAACTATATTAAGAGACAGAGCAGCTTTAGTGTCCAATGGAAGCTAAAACACTAAAGCTGCTCTGTCTCTGCACATCACTATTATAAAGGACTGGGAAGTTCCTCAAAGCCAAAGTAATAATAGCTAATAATGAAGCTGAACAAAACCTGATGCAGTTTAAACATATATTTAAACGCACAAAATAATAGGTCTCTAGGGACTTTAGTTTCTGGCACGTTATGCACAAGCACATTGACCTTCCAACTGCATCTGCAATCTGTAAATATATTTTGCAAAGTAAAAATAATTACTTTTGGGGTCTGCTTCGCTATATAATCAAGCTCTCCCAAAAAAAAAAAAACATTGCTGTGATCTTGCCATATACAACCTATTACAAACCAATTAATATGGAGACGCGTAAAGAAAGAGATATCCATCCTGGGGTCATCTTTGGTTACTGAAGCGTGTCTAAAAGAAGAATGATTAAAGTATAACATTACCTGCATTATAACTAATTATCATGTGAACAATGCACGTACTCAAAGCATACAAGAAAAGTTTAAGAGATGTTATTATAAAGATGTCAGAGAGAGGCACAGCAACCATAGAAAGGTGCGATCAACCATGTGATTTTAGTTCAAGTCAGCATGCAACAGAAATTTTGATAGTCTTTTCTTCATTATTGTGATGTATATACAATTGAAACGGGTTCCAAAGCATGAAAAGAAATGTATAGGGCAGGAGTTGATTTTGTCAGTCAATATTTACTTTATATACACTTAACATTTATAGAGGTAAAATACAAACACAAACAAATACAAATACAAAAAACTGTAATACAGGCAACTTAGGTAAAAAAAACGAACATCTGATAAATACTTTAATATGACCAGTACAAATGTCCCAGTTGAAGATGAGTCAGTATTGGTCCCCATTGCAGATGTAGACAGTATTATATTGCTTAAAAGTCTGTTTAAAATCAACAGAACATTTGTTAAAATGTTCCCTCATGCACCGGTCCCTTTCAAAGGTTTAATACAAAAGGGGAAAGCAATTATGGTTGAATATATTTAATAAGAATCCAACCGACTCGTTCACAAACTACCCACGGTCCCCCCTCCCTACTTCCTATATAAAACAAGACTACTCCTCCACTGCAAAGACAGAAACACATTTATATGGTCACCAAGAAGAACTTTGGGACAATTAAAGCAAGACTACTTCCGAAAAACAAAGCACTTGCCTGCCTCTTCAGTAACAACACAGCAGAAATGAAATGTTCCCCAGACACAGGGAACATAATCATCATGTTCATCTGGTGTTAAGGGATGGGGGTGTGTGGGAGGGCCGACAAAGGATTAAATGGGAAATCAAAATGAATGGGAAGAGCAAAAGGGAACAGTGGAAATGGGTGACGAGACAAAATTATAATGCTGGGTGATGGAAAATAAATGAAGAGAGGCGGAAGGGAACACGCATGTAAACAGTGCATGAAGCAGAAGCGCAGAAGTATTTTATGGATGCATGGGTGCTTTTAGAGGTCATCCCAAGTCAGACAAGAGATGAGAATGTGATCCAGACTGTGTCAATTTCCTTCCAGGGTTACTGTTTGAAAGTGTGAACAAGTTACAATGGGCTTTTTTTCAGGCTTGAACGGCGCATGAGTCCACTTATTACTTTACCATGTGCATTATCACTAGGCATCAAATGGGCTTCATGAGAGTTTGGTCAATTAATAATCTGTGAACCTGTATCCTTATATTAATCATCTATGTGCCATCTAGGACTGTAACCAGCAATATATTAGTGGAGACGCAAGCAGATTTTTTTTTACTTGAGACATAATACACCGTTTAAAGCCCTGGCACACACTTTATAAGCTGTCAAAAACAGGCTACTGAAAAATCTCTGTGTTTATCTGTCTGCTGAGGATTGTGAAGTCTGTGTCCTCTTCTGGACTCAACTGAGAGATGGAATGAAAGAGAAGGTGAAATGTTTGGGTACGATCTACGAGTCTTTCGTCCATTTCCAGGTGTGGAGTGAACAGTTTAGGGGATCTGAAGCTGCAGTTCTTCTTCCTCATCTTCATCAGGGTCACTATGGGGGCCGTCTGCGTCCTCAGGCCCAAAACGCGTTGAAGCTGATGTCATCATCTTGCCAAAGAGGCCAGGATTCTGCTGACGCCTTAGCCTTTCCCCAAAAAATATAAAAATAAATAAATAAAATAAATAATAATAATTACATAAATCAAGTAAATACATAAAGACAAACGAGAGAAGGAAAGAAAAAAGGATGAGAAATCCGTAAATCACAGTGGAATCAAAAATTATATCTAAAAGTATTTTTTTTTTTTTTTTTTTTACATTTTAAACAATAATGTTGTAATGTACTCTTCAAAATGACAGTAGAAAGTCTGAGAAAAGGTCTAGCATCATTTGACACTGTTGATTTCATATCAGGTTGTTCATACACTTTTAAATGGAGCTTTAGTCACCATAAGTAACTTTAAGTCATGAGGATTCTTGACATCTCCATTACGTCAATTAAAATAAGAACAAGAAACAAGAGGTTGAACAACAAAAAGGAGCTCTAAGAATCATAGTAACAGTTTATCTCCATTATTACTGGCATGACAACCACTGGCAAACAATAATAATACATGCTAATAGATAAATAAATAAAATACATCAGTTCAGCTATAGCTGAGGCCAGTACTGCATCAGAAAATAAACATGGGCAAATGCAAATTAGCTCAGAACGAGTAACCAGTGGGCAAATTAATGTAATAAATAAATCATAGTTTTTTATGATGATGATTTATATCATATCTGAATCTTTGCGAGTATTAGAACAGCAAACACAAAACAGGTGGTCATTAGCACAGACAGTTATTTCTGACAACACTCTTTTTAATGCCCATCCTTTTTCTTTTGGACTTTTTGGCTCTCTCTATGTCTCTATTGTTGTCAGGCACTGTATTTGTATGTTTTTGATGTAATTGTAGGGAAATATTGGCCCTGTGGCATGTTAGGAAACATTTCCTGGCCATTAAAGTGCTGCTGGGGTAAACAGACAAGGTAAAACAATCCCAACAACAAATAATACAGGTAAAAGAACAAGAGGTTGATGTAAGAAATGGAGGGAGAGAGAAAAACACCCTCTCATCTTTGAACAGCTGATGACACACTACTGTATATTGTTAGTGTTTGAATAAGTGAACAGATGAAAAGCTTCTCTGGGTGTATTCAGGGGTGTATAAGGGCCCAGGATCCTCCAAGAAGAGGGACCCTAATGTCAGGAAACACTAAACATTGCTAAAATACACATTACACTATTTTGACCACAGTGGCTCACTCACAAAGGCTAAAAGCTTTTTGAGTCAAAAGCTTCATAAATACAGAGACGCATACAAATAGTGAAACAAAATTGTTTCTTGTTGAGCCCACACAGTGACTCATGTCTTCAGGGTTTATCTGAGAGACCATGAATATTTTAGCATTTTAACATTTGGGTGGCAGATAAATAACATGGACATAATTATTTAAAATGTAAATACATGTAAAAAGGATAGTTTTTCTTGTAGTTTTCTGTCAGTTCTAGATAGTTCTTCAAACCAAAAATCACCAGAGACTACAATACTGTGTGTAATAATTACCGAGTGATTTTTATCTTATAAATGTTATATATTTATCTATATGTGTATATATAAAATATAATATATTTTAAAATGCAGTTTATTCCACTGAATGTAAAACAACATGATCCTTCATAAATCATTTCAACATTCTCAAGTAACGTCTATTCATCAGTGTAATGATGTAATCTTGTAATGTAATGTAAATGTAAACTGATATTTCCTAATAACACACTACAGCAAAAGATATACTGTAAAAAACTGGCTTGAAACCACTTTTTTGGTGAAAATACTAACGTGCCTAATACTTTTGCACAGTACTGTGGACTGCTGTCATTGCTTGACATTTCATGTCAACTACTCATTTACAATTCAAGTTCTGATCAGCAACTCTCCTAGCCTTTTATTCTTCAATTTGTACATTGAGGCAAAGAATAAACTCAGACCCTCAGGCATATTATCTGTTCTGTTTTTATGCAAAACATTACACCATCATTTAGGATGTGGAATTGACTTCTGCACTACCAAACCAATGGAAAACCAATGCGACCAATAGGAAAGCAGCAATGTAATTGTTCTACCCCAACGCTACTGGCACAGAGACATGTACAATAAAGAACATGTCAGTCAGACAAAGCAACCGTGAAATCACGACACCAATGTCACGTGCATGATAATCCCATTCTACACCACAGACATTTTCATTATCCTTTGTTTGATTTATTTATTAATATATCCCCCTCTTCAACTCCCCCATACATAACGCAGAGACACTCGCTCCCTTTCTCTAGTTCTCTCTACCACACAAAGCTGATGAGTTGCCTGTCACTCAGTGGAGGTGTGCTTTAAGTGCCTGCCTTTTAATGCCTGTACACTCAGATAAGAAAGCAACCGGCGAGCTACATTAAAGCTGCACAGATCCACACCATCAGCTCTCTCGATCTGATCTATCTCTACACAAAGCCTCATCACCATGTCTCCGTCTTTGTGTAGCTCATTCCTCCACGCAGAACCGTATCTGGCACATTCCTCAGAGCTTTCAAGCTATCAGGTCTACTATCAGACTACTGGCAGGAGTGTACTGCTATACTGTTAGTATATCCATGTCTTTGCATATGAAATGCTTTTGTACATAAATCACCAGATCTAATTTAAGATTTTTTTATATCAGTCATAAGATTAAGAAAAGCCATAAGAGAGCAACCTCACACTTCAATTTTAAAGAGATCGTTCACCCAAAAATGAAAATTCAGTCATAATTTACTTACCCTCATGTCATTCCAAACCTGTATGACTGACTTTCTTCTGTGGAACATAGAAGATAATTTGATAAATGTGTTTTTTGTTTTTCGTTCATACGGAAGTCAACAGTCACCAAAGCTGTTTGGCAACTAATATTCTTCCAAATATCTTCTTTTGTGCTCTGCAGAAGAAATAAAGTCATACAGGTTTGGAACAAGAGTGAATAAATGACAACAGAATTAGCATTTTTGAGTGAACTATCCCTTTAAATGCTATATGTTGTTTGAGCTATTTGAAAGGTTTTGTGATTTTTTTTAAACCACAAACAGACCACGAGGGTTATAGTCAACATATATGGACAACAAAGTGTTTAACGCATGTGGCATATGTGACACGCCTGAGTGTACATGCAGACCTGGTAGGCTTCTCTGCTTCCTGCAGGGATTAGGAGCATTGTCTGCCCTCATATATTGATTTACACACAAAGTTTATGATTATAGACTGAAGCACATAAAGTCAATTACCATCTACTCTCTGTAGAGGCCGAGGTAGAGAGAAAGAGAGAGGAAGAGACAGAGAGACATGAGTAAAAAGAGAGAATTAGAGCAAGAACCTTAGCAGACAGGACAAAAACTAGTAGAGGGAACAACAACAAGCCACTAAGGGTGAAACAGAAATAAGAGACAGTGAGTTCACAGCTTCCCAATGAAGAAAGCAGCAAATAGGCACGGTGGGGGTGCCAAATGGTGCTGCCGGTGGGCTGAGCAGAGCTGCTGTCTCATGCTGCGAGACTAACAGACAGACACAGCCGCTGAGAGCAGGACAGCGGGCGAGAGGAGCCAACCTCAATCATGAGATTTGATCCTTTTCTGCGTGTCCACTGTGCCCACAGCAGATATGATGGTTTATGGTATTCTTGCTGCAGGACATAAAGTGGGCGGAGTCACAGCCAGCTGGGAAATGATGCGACTCTGAAGTTGAACTTCCTGTGGCATTAGATATGGGTATAAACTCTAAGTCAACTCAGCGACTGAAGCACTATCAGTTCCTTAATGCTGTCATTTCCAGCCTTCTCCTGTCACCTTGACAACGCTTACTCCAAATCAGCCTCTAGACCATCCTCGGTCTCCATGACAACTTGGACAAGCGCTCAACTCCATCTGTCACCCTATCCACCCATTGCCTGCTCCTCTCTTCCTCAATCGCTGCGCTAGTGCTGAACCCTTGCCCACCTCTCAGAGGGACGTTCGGAATGTTCTCGCATCCTTTCTTCAACAACTCCTCTTTCATTTTGCTGATTGGCACTCGCTGACAGCCTAGTGAGCAACCTTTTCTCCCAATAGAGCATTTTAGTTTAGTTTTTGAGCGAACTCAAATATATGTTTTGTTTATATATATATAAATGTGGCATCTCAAATTAGAGTCTATGTAAACATGCTTTTTTATTAAATCATTTAGCAATGAAAGTGCATTTGCTTTTACAAAAAAAATCTTCCTTGAAAGTTCAATGAAAACTTTCCTTAACTTAAAAGTGTTTAATGAAAACATTAAGGAACAGGATTCGGTACAAACTTTAGACATGCATGAAACCTCAAACTTAGGAATTTCCCAGGCAAAAGGAGGGACAAGAATATCACTAGCCTGGTTTCCTTATCAGATTTGCACAAAACTTCTGCGATATTTTCTAAATGTCGATAAAAACAATTAGTCGTTTATGCAACTAAAACATATTTTTTACCTCTCACGATACGTCATTCCAAAAATAATGGCAACGGATGTAAGTAGGTTTACGTATCGCAGCCACGGCACAAGCCATTATTTTTAATCGAAGGAGACGTAGGTATATTATCCAAGTCCCTTATACTTGGCAGCAGCTGTACGAGGTGTTTCTGGGTGTTTCTCCCTCCTATCTGCTTCAAGGTCTTGCTAAATTGTGGCATTTCTTTGTTGTTTAGAATCCAGTATTCCCATAATACTTTTATCTTTTATGAGTTTAATAAAGAACTCTTGTCTCGTCTTCTGTCCAAACATAACGTGTCATCTTTAAAGAATGATTGACTTTTACTCACGCCAGGTGACCTATAAATGCGAAAAACTGTTTCCATTGCAGTTTTGTGAAATATTCCTTTTTCGAATGGCCTGAAAAACCACCTCACGAGCATAAAAACTTTGTGATATATGGTAGTTTTTGCGAAATTTATGTGTTTCCATTGGGCATATTTTCAATTCGCAATTTCAATTTGTGCAATTTAAAAGGTAATGGAAACGCAGCTATTGAGACATGGGAGAGAGCCTTGTTGAAATGGATCAGTATGCGACGACACAAATCAGTCACAACATAGCAACGCTCTAACAACCACTCCATACGCTCCTTCCATTTTTTTCAGAAAATGTAAAAATCGCCTTTAAATTACAATGCCATTTTACCTCAAATGAGAGTCAGCTATTTTTTCTCAACAGTCTCTGGACTGAATCCAACTGACATCTCTTCCTATACCCACAAAGGAAAGTTAGCCGTCCACAAATCCAATGTGAAGAACCCAATCTGCAAGGCTGCATTTTTTTAGATAAATTACTTTTGTTTTCATGACAATCTCATAATTTAATCATATGTATCTACACAGGTGTGACATGGAGGAATTATGCTTTGCGAATGTCTTAATCATTAGAAGCTTTTCATCAGTCTCTACAAACACCACCATGGCGACATGCCTGTCACTGTTCTCTCCAGCTGCGTGGGGCCCGAGCCCACAACACTGCTTCATGTCTCCCTGTTACTACGGTAACCCACAACCAGGCAGCCTGGGATTGGCTGCGGGTAGGTGCAAGCCTGAATGCAGGCAGAATAATGAGAGAGAGACTGAAAGAGAGAACGCGGCTGAGGGAATCGTTGACAGTTTACCTTATAAACCTGCCGTCTTATTCATGATGTTGTGTAACAGAAGCTTATCCTGTATTCATTACTGATCAAAAGAGATCTGAACTGAACAGATATATATATATATATATATTCTCAAACGTATCACACAGTTGACCTGGTACAGAGATACTTCCGAGTCAGTGCGTGTGCATATATTTATCTGGTTACCTGGATTGTAGGTGCTCCAGCTGAACTTGTAGGTTCTCTGACTGCTCCACCTGCTCATCCAGGGATCTCTGTAGCTTTCTGGTCTGATTATGAGCCTCATCCAACTGAAACAATTGCATAATACATAGTTTAGGGATCATATACAGTATCTCACAAAAGTGAGTACACCCATCACATTTCAGCAAACATTTTAGTATATCTTCTTAAGGGACAATACTATAGAAATGAAACTTGGATATATTCTAGAGTAGTCATGTGCTGCTTGTATTGGCAGTATATATTTACTGTCCTCTGTAAATAACTCAACATACAGCCATTATTGTCAAAATAGCTGGCAACAAAAGTGAGTAACAAAAGTGAACATGTCAAAACTGGGTCCAAAGTGTCAATATTTTGTGTGAGCACCAGTGTTATCTAGCACTGCCTTAAACCTCCTGGAGGTAATTCACCAGAGCTGCACAGGTTGTTGCTGGGATCCTCTTCCACTCCTTCATAATGACATCATGGAGCAGCTGGATGTTAGACACATGGCTCTTCTCCACCTTCCGCTTGAGGATGCCCCACAGGTGCTCAATAGGGTTCAGGACTCTAGAGACATACTTGGCCACTCCATCACCTTCACCTTCAGCTTCCTTAGCAAGGCAGTTGTCATCTTGGCGGTGTGTTTGGGGTCGTTATCATGCTGTTCGGCCCAGTTTCTGAAGGGGGGGCATCATGTTCTGCTTCAGAATGTCACAGTACATGTTGGAATCCATGTTTCCTCAATGAAGCACAGCTCTCCAGTACCAGCAGCACTCATGCAGCCCCAGACTAGGATGCTACCACCACCATGTTTGACTGTAGGGAAGACACAGTTTTCTTGGTACTCCTCACCAGGGCTTCGCCACACATGCTGGACACCATCTGAGCCAAACAAGTTTATCTTAGTCTCATCAGACTACAGGACATGGTTCCAGTAATTCATGCTCTTGGACAGGTTGCTTTCAGCAAACTGTTTGCAGGCTTTCTTGTGAGCCAGCTTCAGAAGAGGCTTCCTTCTGGGACGACGGCCATGCAAACCGACTTGTTGCAGTGTGCTGACAAGCTGACCTTCCGCTTCTGCAACCTCTAAAGCAATGCTGGCAGGACTCACACGTCTGTTTTTTGAAGCCAGCTTCTCCACCTGACACACAGCACGAGCCACGAGGACTCAACTTCTTTGATCGACCCTTGCGAGGCCTGTTCCAAGTGGAACCCGTCTTGGAAAACCTCTGTATGACCCTGGCCTGTACTGTATCTCAGTTTCAGGATGTTACCAATCTTCTTATAGCCCAGGCCATCTTTGTGGAGAGCAACAATTCTAATTCTCAAAACCTTAGAGAGTTATTTGCCATGAGGTACCATGTTGAACATCCAGTGGTCAGTATGAGAGAATTGTACACAAAGCACAACTTTTAACTGCTCTAATACAAGATATACAAATTTGTATGGTCCTGTCAAGCAGACAAAAACATGAAAATGATGAATAGGACATGTGGCTTTACATGGTTAAATGACGTACAGCTATTATCACTTAGGGTGTACTCACTTTTGTTGCCAGCTATTTTGACAATAATGGCTGTATGTTGAGTTATTTACAGAGGACAGTAAATATATACTGATATACAAGCAGCACATTGACTACTCTAAAATATATCCAAGTTTTATTTCTATAGTATTGTCCCTTGAGAAGATATACTAAAATGCTTGGTGACATGTGAGGGTTGTACTCACTTACGTGAGATACTGTATATATATATATATATATATATATATATATATATATATATACACACTCACCGGCCACTTTATTAGGTACCCCATGCTAGTAACGGGTTGGACCCCCTTTTGCCTTCAGAACTGCCTCAATTCTTCGTGGCATAGATTCAACAAGGTGCTGGAAGCATTCCTCAGGGAGTTTGGTCCATATTGACATGATGGCATCACACAGTTGCCGCAGATTTGTCGGCTGCACATCCATGATGCGAATCTCCCGTTCCACCACATCCCAAAGATGCTCTATTGGGTTGAGATCTGGTGACTGTGGAGGCCATTTTAGTACAGTGAACTCATTGTCATGTTCAAGAAACCAATTTGAAATGATTAGAGCTTTGTGACATGGTGGAAGTAGCCATCAGAGGATGGGTACATGGTGGCCATAAAGGGATGGACATGGTCAGAAACAATGCTCAGGTAGGCCGTGGCATTTAAACGATGCCCAATTGGCACTAAGGGGCCTAAAGTGTGCCAGGAAAACATCCCCCACACCATTACACCACCACCACCAGCCTGCACAGTGGTAACAAGGCATGATGGTTCCATGTTCTCATTCTGTTTACGCCAAATTCTGACTCTAACATCTGAATGTCTCAACAGAAATCGAGACTCATCAGACCAGGCAACATTTTTCCAGTCTTCAACTGTTCAATTTTGGTGAGCTCTTGCAAATTGTAGCCTCTTTTTCCTATTTGTAGTGGAGATGAGTGGTACCCGGTGGAGTCTTCTGCTGTTGTAGCCCATCCGCCTCAAGGTTGTGCGTGTTGTGGCTTCACAAATGCTTTGCTGCATACCTCGGTTGTAACGAGTGGTTATTTCAGTCACTGTTGCCCTTCTATCAGCTCGAACCAGTCTGGCCATTCTCCTCTGACCTCTGGCATCAACAAGGCATTTCCGCCCACAGAACTGCCGCTCACTGGATGTTTTTTCTTTTTCGGACCATTCTCTGTAAACCCTAGAGATGGTTGTGCGTGAAAATCCCAGTAGATTAGCAGTTTCTGAAATACTCAGACCAGCCCTTCTGGCACCAACAATCATGCCACGTTCAAAGTCACTCAAATCAACTTTCTTCCCCATACTGATGCTCGGTTTGAACTGCAGGAGATTGTCTTGACCATGTCTACATGCCTAAATGCACTGAGTTGCCGCCATGTGATTGGCTGCTTAGAAATTAAGTGTTAACGAGCAGTTGGACAGGTGTACCTAATAAAGTGGCCGGTGAGTGTATATATACACACACACACACACACACACACACACACACCTAAAGGATTATTATGAACACCTCTTCAATTTCTCATTAATGCAATTATCTAATCAACCAATCACATGGCAGTTGCTTCAATGCATTTAGGGGTGTGGTCCTGGTCAAGACAATCTCCTGAACTCCAAACTGAATGTCAGAATGGGAAAGAAAGGTGATTTAAGCAATTTTGAGCGTGGGATGGTTGTTGGTGCCAGACGGGCCGGTCTGAGTATTTCACAATCTGCTCAGTTACTGGGATTTTCACGCACAACCATTTCTAGGGTTTACAAAGAATGGTGTGAAAAGGGAAAAACATCCAGTATGCGGCAGTCCTGTGGGCGAAAATGCCTTGTTGATGCTAGAGGTCAGAGGAGAATGGGCCGACTGATTCAAGCTGATAGAAGAGCAACTTTGACTGAAATAACCACTCGTTACAACCGAGGTATGCAGCAAAGCATTTGTGAAGCCACAACACGCACAACCTTGAGGCGGATGGGCTACAACAGCAGAAGACCCCACCGGGTACCACTCATCTCCACTACAAATAGGAAAAAGAGGCTACAATTTGCAAGAGCTCACCAAAATTGGACAGTTGAAGACTGGAAAAATGTTGCCTGGTCTGATGAGTCTCGATTTCTGTTGAGACATTCAGATGGTAGAGTCAGAATTTGGAGTAAACAGAATGAGAACATGGATCCATCATGCCTTGTTACCACTGTGGAGGCTGGTGGTGGTGGTGTAATGGTGTGGGGGATATTTTCTTGGCACACTTTAGGCCCCTTAGTGCCAATTGGGCATCGTTTAAATGCCACGGCCTACCTGAGCATTGTTTCTGACCATGTCCATCCCTTTATGGCCACCATGTACCCATCCTCTGATGGCTACTTCCAGCAGGATAATGCACCATGTCACAAAGCTCGAATCATTTTAAATTGGTTTCTTGAACATGACAATGAGTTTACTTTACTAAAATGGCCCCCACAGTCACCAGATCTCAACCCAATAGAGCATCTTTGGGATGTGGTGGAACGGGAGCTTCGTGCCCTGGATGTGCATCCCACAAATCTCCATCAACTGCAAGATGCTATCCTATCAATATGGGCCAACATTTCTAAAGAATGCTTTCAGCACCTTGTTGAATCAATGCCACGTAGAATTAAGGCAGTTCTGAAGGCGAAAGGGGGTCAAACACAGTATTAGTATGGTGTTCCTAATAATCCTTTAGGTGAGTGTATTTACGTGTTGTCAATATAACGTACATTCATTGATCATAGCAAACGTAAAGATTTGGTTTTCTGTGATTTACTTAAAATTGTTGCTGAGAATTCTGCTGATTTAAATATATCACTAATGCAATGCTATCTAGCTGGTGATCAAAACTGTGAAAATTACTTGAGACAGTCAGGAGAGATAGGAAGAATGGTTTGAAAATTAAACATCTAATAATTTTATGTTATAATTGTTTGTTTTCTGAGCAAAGATTAATTTATCTCTATCTAATTTTGTAAAGTAACAGCCGAATCAATTTGTTGTAAAGTTTAAACATAACATAACAAAACACACTTACTGTTGAGCCCTGTATTAAATTTAAATAAAAAGGACAACAAAGAAAACCACAGAATACACCCCAAGAAATTATGAATTTAATTTTGAGCAAGTGCTTTGTTTCACCTCATCTTCAGCCTGGCCCAGCTCTTTCTTCAGCTCCTCCACCCTCAGTCTGAGTTTCTTAACTTCTGTCTCATGCTGTTCCACACGCCGGTTAGCATGTGCTAGCTCAGCCATCTTCTCCTGGTACTGTTTTTTAACCTTGGAGTGGACGTGCCGCAAATCTGCCAACTCCTGCAAGAGAGCAGATGCATTGACACCATGTTCTAGATACAAGACAGCTGAGAACTCCATCATCATCATCATCATCATCAACCTGTATACTGCTTAGTGACAGTAACTTTTTCATATACTTTGACACAGAATCAATATATACATGTGTGTTTATGTGTGTTAGGGGGGTATTATATACCTTATCAGCCTGGTTCATGAATATTAATCAGGGCTCTAGCTATATTGGGATTATACTCTACTGATGGTACATTCACTGGTTTGCAGAAGCTGTTGGCCTGCAAGAGTTTTTCTCTTTGCACTGCAGCAAAGCAAAACAAAGCTCATAAATATAATAATTATTGTCCGCGTGTGAAGTATGATTTGTAAAAACTCTAAAAGTTCTATAATGGTTACTACAGCCCTGCTAAAGACTAAAAGTGCTGTTAACATTATGCAGTGAAAAATAAAAACCCATTCTGAACTCATTTTCAATATGCCTAGTTTAAAAGGGTGGTATAATGCCCATTTTTACAAAATGTAAAATAAGTCTCTGATGTCCCCAGAGTGTGTATGTGAAGTTTTAGCTCAAAATACCCCACAGATAATTTTTTATAGCATGTTAAAATTGTCCCTTTTTGAGGGTGAGAAATAAACGCTTTGTTTTGTATGTGTCCCTTTAAATGCAAATCAGTTGCTTCTCTCGGCACAGAGGGCAGAGCTATAACAGCTCGCGTCATTACCAGCTTGCAGACACGCATTAAAATGTGAGAAACTGTTCTGCCTATTATGTTCAAACCGGAGTTGGACAAAGATGGAGAGACTCAAGAAGAAGTGACAACATGTAGAATGCAACAGGATGTTTCTTAATGGTTAGTTGATTTATTTACATATAGCTGATGTGGAGTTAACTATCTTCAAATTATTAATTAACATATTCTGTCATGATAATCTATAAAATCGCTCGTGTGGGAACTGTTGTAAGATGCCTACAGAGTGACATGCTATTGCATTTGTGTTACATACTGTTGTAACACTCCGCTGCTATTTAAACAACTAAAATGCGTGTTCACTATAAGTAGGAACAACTGTTCACACTGTTTAGTCCACAAACAAAACACAGATTCTCAAGAGAACAAAGAGATTTTGAAACTCACAAAGAGATTAATTTCGCAAACCACCACAGTATATTTACATATTCACACAACATAAGTCACAAACCCAAAATACCACCATAGATAATACAGACAGTTCTGAATACGTGAGTGTGTGGGTGTGTTCTTGAACTGTCTTATATTCCCGCGGGTATGTACAAAGTTAGGATCAGCCTCACCAGTAATAGTGTCAAGTCCGGGAGCGTGATCAATGAAGTGAAAAAACTGTCCAATGTCCTTCAACACAGTAATCCTGGCAGCGAGCCAACTGAAATACTCCCGGGAGGAGCGGCGACCCGGCGCTTCCAGGACAGTCAATCACGGAGTAATCCACCTACGCTCCGGTAGGTTTGTGAATGAGAAAAAACTTCTCCTGAAGACCGCCTTCCTCCTTCCTTTTATGGCAACCGACCGCCTTCCTCCTTCCTTTTATGGCAACCAACCAAGGAGGATAATCAGCCACCGCCTGGGTCTTCTCCGGATCCACTTCTACTCCTCTCTCCGACACAATGTGGCCCAGGAATTTTAGTTGACGTTTAAAGAAGTGACACTTCTTCATGTTGAGAGTAAGTGAAGCCTGGTTGAGTCTGTGTATAATGGTGTTCAGGTGTTGTACATGTTCTTTTAATGTCCGTGAATAAATTATAATGTCATCAATATATACAAAGCAAATCTTCCCTCTCAATTCCACTAGGATCTTCTCCATCAGCCTCTGGAAAGTGGCTGCGGCATTCTTGAGACCATACGGCATCGAGTGGAATTGGTAGAGCCCCTGGGTAGTGATAAAGGCAGTTTTACTCTTACTAGCCTCATCCATTTCCACTTGCCAATATCCTGACCGCAAGTCCAATGTACTGAACCAGGAGGCGCCTTCCATGGATTCAAGTATGTCATGAATGAGTGGCATTGGGTATGCGTCAGGTAAGGTTGTACTATTCAGCTTCCAATAGTTCACGCAGAACCTGTAAGTATCATCCATTTTGGGGACCAGGACTACGGGTGCTGCCCATGGAGAGTAAGAGGGTTCGATGATGTTGTCCCTTAGCATTTGTTCAACTTGCTCGTCTATTATTTTTTTCTTGAATGGAGAAACTCGGTAAGCCCTAGATTTCACAGCATTTCATCACATAAGAGGATCTTGTGTTGTTCTACCGATGTTTTCCCGAGCAACTTGGAAGTGGTATGAGGCCAGGTCCCGATCAACTTCCGTAACTCCTCCTGGTTGTCGGAGTCCTAGTTGGGAGTAACTTCAGCGACCGAGGAAGCATGAGATGGATGCCATGTTGAAGGTAAGGCGTAATAAAGACTCACTGTAGCTGAAGTGTGTCTTCTTTCCGCCTCTCATGTAGTAACCACTCCTGGATTTACGGTAGCTGTTATTAAAGAATGATACATATAACCTTTACCCACTTTCAGCCCATATCTACTTTGGCCTACATCCACGATAGCTTCAGTGACTCTGAGGAAATCCAAACCCGCTATCAAGGGAAAAGCCAGGTGAGCATCCTTCATGATATATGTATCTACCCCACATACTTTCTCATGCCAGTTGTAACAGATGCTTTTCTTATGGAAAGGCTTGATGTACCTTCCCATCAGCCATAATAAACCGTTGAAGGGGGACTGGGTGGTCCGCGTTTGGTTCACCAAATAACTGTCTCCACAAACTTTCCTGCATCAGGGTGTACGTGCTTCCCAGTATCCAGTACCGCTTTTACCTCTTGGCCCCTTATCGTTACCTGCCCTACCAGAAGGGAATTTATAGGATGCGTTTGTGCGATCGATAAGCCAGCCAGATTTTGAGAGGCATTACGTTCATTAGGTCTCTTATGGGTCTTTTCTCTCCCATTCTGACTGTCCACCTTCTGCCAATAATCCTTAGCTCCCATGCAGTCTTTTTCCACCATTGAACCCACTTTTACCAGTTGTTCCACTGTTTTCACTGTTCCCCTCAAACAGCCTGCAACCCTGGGGTTGGTGTTGTTGAGGATGCGACTCACCATCTCTTCCTCAGACATATCAGGCTTCCACTTAATACAGAGGGCTCTGTAATCATAGGCAAAATCTCTTAGGCGTTGACGTGGCTGCTGAACCAGCGACCTTAGCTTATCTTCCACTTCAGCAAGATAATCATCCGGTAAAAATGCATCCATAAAGGCTGCCTTGAAAGATTGCCAATCTGTTACCTTACTCCTCTCGGCTTTGCACCAGCTCAGCGCGGGTCCCTTCAGAACCGTGCTCAAGGTGCCTACCAGTTTCACACTGGGAAGGGGCCTGATGTCGAGATAGTTCTCGCACTGCTCGATGAAGTTGAGCACCTCCGAAGTCTCACAGGACTCCCCAAAAGAAGGAAACTCCAACCGAATCGGCGGCCGACTGCAGAAGGATGAGATACTGGGCACCACTGGAGGGGTAGTTGGAACAGACCTTCCTGGAGTTATATTCATCCATAGCATTGCTTGTCTTAGAAGGAGGAAATTTGAATCTAGATGCCGTCATGGGAGTTCTATAATCATGATCAGAAGTTACGGAGTTGGCTGGGGTGTAGGACTGTAGTCTAGAAAGTGAAGGGCTACTAGTGAATCACAATTTTTTTATTTGAGTCTCCCATCTTGCATCTCTTCTTAGGAAACAATCAGCCACAACTCTCTCCAACTTTTCTATTGATCGGTGAAAATGATTTTCTAAATCTGCCAAACCAGCGTCCACTGCCTCACGGAAACTTGTCTCACGATTAAGTGCACTTTCAACTGACTGTTTAAAATCATGTTCGTTTGTCTGTACTTTAGCACTAAGGGCCAATAAATCCACTCTGAGTTTGTCATTCTCAGTTTGTATTGTTTGAAGATCATTTCCATTCAATACACCGCTTTCATCATCTTCATCATCCGTTTTTACCTCATCATCGAAAATATACATCGAACTAAGCATAAAACTTATTTCCTCGGTAGGATTACGTCTAGTTACGAATGGACCTGCAGTGAAATCTGCAACTGGCGTCTCATTCGAACCCCTTCTTGATACCGATACATCATCATCAAGGTTATCAGTATTTACCGTCTGAGTATTTCTCTCCTCCTCGACATTCATATCTCCCTCCATAACTATGGACATACAAGAAAACAATATATCACAATGAAACAGTAAATTCCCCGTACGGGCCACCACTATGTAACACTCCGCTGCTATTTAAACAACTGCGTGTAGACTATAAGTAGGAACGACTGTTCACACTGTTTAGTCCACAAACAAAACACTAATTCTCAAGAGAACAAAGAGATTTTGAAACTCACAAAGAGATTAATTTCGCAAACCACACATATTTTTGACAGTATATGACATATTCACACAACATAAGACACAAACCCAAAATACCACCATAGATAATACAGGCAATTCTGAATACGTGAGTGTGTGGGTGTGTTCTTGAACTGTCTTATATTCCCGCGGGTAAGTACAAAGTTAGGATCAGCCTCACCAATAATAGTGTCAAGTCCGGGAGCGTGATCAATGAAGTGAAAAAACTGTCCAATGTCCTCCAACACAGTAATCTTGGCAGCGAGCCAACTGAAATCACGGAATAATCCACATACTCTCCGGTAGGTTTGTGAATGAGAAAAAACTTCTCCTGAAGACCGCCTTCCTCCTTCCTTTTATGGCAACCAAAATAGTCATTTCCTGTCTACTGGCCAAAACCCACGTGAAGAGAAGACACGCGCAAATCTCGCGTGCAGTATAATGAGGTTCCCAATAAACAATAGTAGGAGCATAAACAGTGTACAGCGGAAAGCCAACAAGGTAATACATAAAGTGCCACAACATACTTATCTATATGGCACTAACCTTATATAAAAACTTCCCCTTATGTGG